GCGGGGTTTCTGCGATCAAAAAGGTCCCTGAACGCAATTCACCACAGCGTAGCAATTTTTCTTCTAAAACACCAGTTTATTCATGAAACAATCCAAAAGGTTGGTTCCTCCCCACCAGAACAGTCGGAGCAGCTCAGTATTCGACGCTTATGTTACAATTTACAGATAAAAATCCTCCCGCGTGACAACCTCTCCCTCCGGCTAGCCTCCCCGACAGAACCACCAAGAGCCCAGCTAGGGTGGCCCCCTTCTCATAGAGAAGGGGAACCAGCCATATTTTTGGCTGAGCATCTGTGGGAGGGGTGAAAATAGTGGTTGCTGCTTCTGTTAAACCTGCCACCAGCAGTGGCCTCAGAGGAACATACAGAAGTTTACCAAAAAACCACGGGAGTAGGGATGGGGGAAAGGGAGAGGCTGTCCCTAATTCTGGGGCTCCAGGGCTGGCTGCAGACTCGAGGATGGGGGTGAAACAGTTTCATATTTAAAGGACAATTGGGCTGACTTGAAGAAATGGCCCTCCCTTTCCTAGGATAACAGAGAAGGGCAAAGGGCAGACACCTTTGAAAATAGGAATTGCGATAGACGGAGCCATGTAGGATCAGACTCATGGTCCAGCGTCCCATTTCCCACAGTGGTCAACCGGATGCCCGGGAAACCCCACCGGCAGGAGGCGCGAGGCCCAAACCTCCCTCTCTTTAGCCTCCTCTCCAGCAACTGGCATTCAGAGGTACACTGCCTCCGGATATGGAGGTTCTGTTCAGGCATCGCTGCTAATAGCTATTGCGGGAACAGTCCTCCCCTCCCGGTGGCCTGGCCTCTCCGTTCTCACCCCCTTCTCAAAGCAAGATGCCGACCAGGCTGTGAAATGTCCAGGGAGTCACGGCAAGACCTGGACTCCAGAAGAATGCAACATCACGGCTGCTCCCCACCCCCACCCCCACTGCAGAAGGAGCCGCTGCCCGCTGGCCTGGGCACCAGGACTCAGGAGAAGGGTACTGGCAGCCAGACCCCTCCCTCCAAAACAGCCTTTTTGCTGGGGCGGGGAGGATGCTGCTCAAACTGAGAGCCAGTTTGGTGTAGTGGTTAAGTGCACGGACTCTAATCTGGGAGAACCGGGTTTGATTCCCCACTCCTCCACTTGCACCTGCTGATGTGACCTTGGGCAAGCCGTAGTTCTGATAAGAGCTGTCCTTGAAAAAGAGCAGTTTCTGTCAGAGCTCTCTCAGCCCCACCTACCTCACAGGGTGTCTGTCGTGGGGAGGGGGAGGGAAAGGAGTTTGCAAGCTGCTCTGAGACTCCTCTGGGTAGTGAAGGGCCATGGGGTATAAATCCATAAAACCAATCTCTTCTCCTCGTCCTCTTCTTCTTCTTGGAATACTGGTAGGGAGACGGAGGCAGCCCGACTTTACTTTCAGCCACAGATTTGCTGGTGATTATAAGGAAACTCAGCCAGGATCAGAAATCAAAGATGGTTCCCTCGGTTAATGTCATGGGGAAAACATTTTAAAAGAAACCAGTTCTTAAGGGATACAGCAAGAGGCAAAACTGAGGTCTCAGCTAAAGGGGGAAATCTTGCCCAGAGGCCTGGGGGTGGGGGGAGGCAAGCTGGATTTGGAACATCATGAAGGGCAACGGGCTAGGAAGCGGGGCAGTCGGGGGGGGGGGGTGACGACAGTCCTCCAGGGAGTCCCCCCAGATTGTAATGTTCTTGTGCAGTTCATGCTTATTTCAACGAGTCTTCTGCAGGAGATGCTCTGGCTGGATCGGGCCCCGTGTTAATCAATGAGGAAGTCCTCTGCAGTTTTTCCGCTTGCGCGACAATGTGTCTTGCAGGAACTCGGGGTCCGGTTTTGGAAGGTCCTTCATAGAAACTGGCATCGAGGGATCCTGCCAGAGGCTCCCTGGCAGCCCGTATGCCAACTGAACTTGCTGGGGAAGCCACAGAGAGGGCAGAGAGCGTGTCTGGGCAACTCGGTTTGTCTCCTGGTTGGTGGGGCATCCATTGTACAGGCTGGAGCTGGTAGGGGAAGGGGGAAGGATTCGGGCCCTGGCCCCGGGTGCTCGTGGCTGGAGGGTGAAGGGCTAAGTGTGGGTCTCTGAACTTGGGTGGGAGAGGAAGGAGAAAAGGCTCCTCCCCCCATCTAAAATATCAATACTATATGCTTGTGTTTGGGAGAGGCATTTCCTCATCTTCTGTGGAGCTAGTCTATTGGAACCAGGCAAGGGAGACTCCTGACAGACAGCAAGGGTGAAGGTAGCCAGTGCGCAGGGACCAGGGGTCATTTTCTGTGGGAGCGCACAGAAGCGGAGCTCCAGCAGTAAGGAGCCCAGGGGGTGGGCCCATGCAACAAGCCCCACCCCGTTCCCAGCAGCCCTCAGTCGGGCCACAAGGAGCAAGAAGCAGCCAGGTAAGTTGCAGAGCCCCCCCCCCCCAACCCGGCTTTCGGGGAAAGACCCTCCCCCCCGAGGGCAGATCTGCACGTTTCCCCCCCCCAGTAGCTAGCAATCCAAAACAGTCCAGTGGAGCCTGAGCGGTGGGTGTTGCCTTCTGACACACTTCCGGTGATGTCAGGGGGTGTGGCATATGCAAATAAGTTATTCTAATAAGCTATGCTAATGAGCTCCTGCACCTCTTTTTCTATGAAATGACCCCTGGCAGGGACAGTGCAGAATTTGGGGGTGAGTCTTTTAGGGTTGCCAGCTCTGTGTGGAGAAATGCCTGGAGGTTTGGGGGGTGGAGCCCAAAAAGGGCAGGATTCTGGAAGCGGATGGACCTCAGCAGGGTACAATACCATAGAGTCCATCCTCCAAAGGAGCCATTTTCTCCAGGGGAACGGATCTTGGTCCTCCGGAGGCCAGTTGTAATAGCGGGAGGTCTCCAGGCCCTACCTGGAGGTTGGCAACCCTAGTGTGTGTGCATGCAGCTATCCTGTTTCAGAGGCACAAACTGCTTTTGGGGGGGGGGATTTGCAGCCAGAAAGCCTCGTCAGTGGCTTCCGTGACCCAAGGGAAGATTGCAGGGAGTCCAGAAACCCTCTCTAAACCAGCAGCTTCTAAGAAGCAGAGCCTTGCAAGACCAGGCCGAATTTGGGGAGTTTGTCCCCCCACCCCTGCCCATGCCATCCCTTCCAGGCCGAGATTTTGATGGCAACAGCTGACTCGCCAAAGGGGTCTTTCCCACCTGTCTTTTTCTAAATACATCGCAAGCACAGGGGGGAGAAAGGGATCTTCTCAAGTTTGTGGCTCTGTGATCTCAGATGCTCATGGAAAGGTCTGCGTGTTGCCAACTCTGGGTTGGAAAATTCCTGGATGTCTGCGGGGTGGAGCCTCAGGAGGTGGGTTTGGGGGAAAGGACCTCAGTGGCGTATAATGACACACAATCTGCCCCCAAAGCAGTCATTTTCTCCCAGGGAACCAATCTACGTATCCTGCAGATCAGGTGTGATTCTGGGAGACCTCCAGGCCCCGCTTGGAGGTTGGCAACAGCATTTCTGTTCCATTCAGGGTTAACAACCTTTCTGTTCCATTCACTTACTCCTGCTTTTTGCTTAAGAGCCACTCCTACCCAGAGTCTACTGCTGGACCGACAGAACATTCCAAGCAACGCTCCCTCTAAGCTGTGGAGTCTTGTGAGCAAAAATTCTACTTTGTGAGCGACTGGCATCAAAGCTGTGTGTGAGCGATCTGGCTGCTGCGTACGTTAGTTTGCTCTGGAGCCGTCCTCCCTGAGCTGAGGCAACAGCGTGTGAGCCGGAGGCTAAAGAACTGTGAGCTAGCTCACACCAACTCAGCTTAGAGGGAACACTGATTCCAAGGCCAGCCAGGTCTCATGACGATGGTGCCCACCGCTCTTATTTGCCATCTGCTGGGCTTAGCCTTGCGCAGTCCAACTCTGGCCACCTCATCTTTGAGCCCCACCCAGTGCCAGAGCCTTGGGCCCCACATGCCTGCGAGAAGAAGCAGGCTTTGCCCAGCCCTCTTGTTCTCCCAAGAGGGGGACTTGCGTCTGAGGCAGTAGCCCACCTAATCTTCCTCCTGCCAAAATTGTTAGGAGAAGGGGACATAGAAGAAACATAGAAACAAGGAGCTGGAAGGTGCTCCAAGGGTCATCTAGTCCAACCCCCCTGCACGATGCAGGAGATTCACAGCTACACCCCCCTCCATTCCCCCGCAGTGACCCCTGTTCTATGCCCAGAGGAAGGCAAAAAGCCTCCAGGATCCCTGGGCCAATCTGGCCTGAAGGAAAATCCCTGGCAGCCAAATGGGAGCAAATGCATGTGACTCCCCAGCTCATGAGAAAAGTCACCCACATTCATCTTGACTTCCCTACATCATAGACTTTGGGTTGTTCGTTTGCTTGCTTGCTTGAGAAAGACCCTCCATGCTTGGTGGGCAACCACATTCAGCGTAGGCTCCCAGACCGGCCATCGTGGGCAGGCAAAGAGGACGAGGGAGCCGGCCACCCTCTTCAGGTGCGGGCTGTTGGCAAATCCCAGCATGGGGGAAGAGGCCTGATCCTGACGCTCCTTCCCCGTGCAAGTTCAGAGGGTTCTGGACTCAGGGCAGCCTCTGGGCGAGGGGTGTGAAGACCATGGAGGCCGTGGAGGGTG